AGCATTTGTTGTGGCATAGCGAGACTTGTGCGCGAAATATAGTTTTAGTTTATTTTTTCTTGGAAAAATCAGCTCTCAAATGCGAACGATGAGGAGTGACATTGGCTTAATAATTGTGCTGATTCTCGCTGGATCAGTATACGGTGGTGAACTGACAAAGTGGCAAAACCAAAGAGAAGATGCCGTTTTTGCGCTGTTTCGCCCTCAGGACGCGTCGCAGGGCGCCCTACTCCTTCAGGAAGCAGCCAGCCAAGGCAATGCTGATGCGGAGAGTGACCTAACTCTGGCCAAGCTCCTCGGGATGGGCGTTCCCCAAGACATCGAGGCAGCCGAAAAGTCTTCCAGCAGCCTCGTAGAGGGCGGCGGAGCACGCGCCCATACGACGCTGGGCCTCCTCCTCTCCCACAACCTGACGGGGACAGAGATGACGGAGGAGAAGCGCCAGAGCCAGGCCCTCTCGCACTACATCATAGCAGCAATGAGTAACGACCCCATCGCGCAGATCCTTGCAGGTTTGCACTACCTGAAGGTGGGCGATTGTGATGCTGCCCTTCAGTATTTTAGGAGGGCTGCCCTTGCCGTGATCCCCGCCGTTCCCGAGGAAATGATGATGCAGGATTCTCCTCGATACGTGTGGCCAGAGGACGACGAGTTCGAGGGGCGGATGACTCTGGACGAGTTCCACTTTGTGGAGCTCATGGCTCAGCACGGAGACGCTGACGCTGCTCTCAAGACCGCGGTTTTCCTGTACCGCGGACTGCCCGGCCTTCCGCGGGACGTTCGCGGAGCGGTCGGGTATTTACGACAGGCTGTCAAGGAAAACAGCACCTCGGCCATGGTGATGCTGTCGTCTATACTGCTTCGACACGACATTCCAGACGTCGAGGAGGACGTTCTCGGCCTCCTTCAGACCGCACTCGACCTCGGGGAAAAGTCAGCCCACGCTTACCTTGGCCTGCTCTATCTCAATGGTTTCAAAGATGTGCCCAAGAATCTGGCGAAGGCGAAAATACACCTCACACAAGGAGTTATGCACGGCTTTACAGAAGCCTTCTACCTCCTGGGGAAGCTGTATGAAGAGGACAGCAGCGGGGGGTCCGACGAGGCCATAGCTTTATGGCATGTGTCAGCCTCCGTTGGACATGTTCCGTCGGCCTTCCGCATCGCCGAGAGGTACTGGCAGGAGCTGCATCGAGGAGCTGCAGATGCAGATAACACGGCTGTTTTTGCAAAGGCACTCTGCCAATCCGCCGTGTCTCTGTACCGTGAGGTGGCACTATCAGGGGACTGGCACTATCTCCTAGAGTCAGCGTACGAAGACTACGTTAGTGGTCACGCAGGAACAGCGTTAATGAAATACCTGCTGATGTCTGACTTAGGTTATCCTTCAGCTCACGTAAACGCGGGCCGATTGTTGGACTCAGGAAACGATGGAATCTACAATACTGAAGAGGCTCTCCACCAGCAGGCCATGAAGGTATGGCAGAAGGCGGGGGGACACGGCCCGTACGTCCGCTTGGGTGACCTTCACTACTACGGCCAAGGTGTTCCTCAGGACCTTACACTGGCTTTCATGTACTACAACAATGCTTCGATGCTAGGAAGTGCCCACGGACTGTTCAACGCAGCTCAGATGGTGGAATGGGGCGAGGGAGTCGCGCAGAACGTGACAAAAGCGCGGGAAATGTACGAAGAGGCCGCGTTAAAGATGCTCACGTTCCGATGGCACTCGCTCTCCTAAAACTGGACCTTTTCCTCTGCTTGAACGCTACCCTTGGTCTCGACCTTTACGCTGTGGACTGGTCTTTTCCGTCTCTCAAAGACCATGGGGGCCACAGTTTCATTGTGAACACTTCCATCCATGCCGGGACATCATACTCATGGCTGTTCTCGCTGTCATTATTACTGTCATGGTTGCATTAAGAGCGATATCTGTCCGGAATCGCTGATGGTTGTAAGGTAGCATAAGCTTTCACATATCACTGTAATCAAAATATCATCCTAAGCATTAACACAGTACAATTATTTTTATGTCAGGGTTATAATAGGTCGTTCTTGCAGCATTATGAATGTTTATGCATTAGGTTTTCTGGTTTCCGAGAAAACGGAGCTCAAATATGTTAAGAGTTTATACTTTGATAACAATGTTAAAGACTTATTTGTGCTCACACGAACAATGTCATTTTGTATTATATATAAGGTTACAAATGTTAGCTACTGTACACTGTAGGTAATGTATATGTGATATTTATAGTTTTTGTACATTGCAAGATATTGCAGTAGTTTGTGATATTAAGATTATTTTAGAATGCCTAGTCATAGTACTGAACACACACACACACACACACACACACACACACACACACACACACACACACACACACATATATATATATATATATATATATATATATATATATATATGTATATATATATGTATGTATGTATGTATGTATGTGTGTGTATATATATATATATATATATATATATATATATATAT